ATGCTAAAATAATTCACATCAGAAATATACTTTTGTGGAGCAAAAGTTCTCAAGAACAAATACTTCATCACAATGAAACTGTGTTCAGTGTACATTAGAAAAGGAACACACTCACACAAAGCCCTAAAAGAAATATGACTGGAGAGGAGATGAAGCCTAGATAAAATGAGGGAATAACTGAACCACACCAGAGAGACTGAGAAAAGATACAAGAGGAATGTGACCCTGAATATTTAAACAGTGATAAGAAAAGAGTTTGATCTTACTATTATACTATTTTGTTACAGTTGTTTGTTTGTTTGTTTTTTAGATTAAATTATACTATATTCAAGATCAAACACTATTTTGGCAGGTGTCTATCTTACAGTTTTGAATATAATTTCGAGTTTCTACAGTACTAATGCAAAAATCTAAGTGTAGACTGGAACCGAGTGTCTTGTCCATACCTCCGAGAGCAATACCACATTCCCAGCATCCTTCCCATTTTGGCCTCTATTTCATGTAACAGCCAGCAATTCCAAGCTGAAGCTGCTATTTTCAATAACTAAACATTCACACAAAAAAGAACTTTGAAAGAACTGACAATATGTTTCTGAGCACCACATCCATATATGCAGAGTGTGACAAGAAAACCTATATGTTAAAATAGTATAATCATTCTTTTCTTCTCACTTTAAGTAACACAATGGAGGAACTACACTACAGGAAAAAAAGCTGAATTTTTATTTTAGCTCTATCTACAATGTTTATACTAAAGGCAAACATATATTAAAGGTAAAGAAATATTTGTTCCGGTACAAACCTGTATGTATTTGGCCACTAAATCATTCACAAAGTTCTTCAAGTCATTATCTCACAGAAATTTAAAGAAACATGCATTCAAAACAAAAGCAAGACATTAAAGAAAAAACATGAAACGGTCAAGCTGCTAAATCCCAAAACAACTCAAAAATCTAACCAAATTCTACTTTCAGCTCCACAGACATTAACCAGCAGTAATTTCACCTACTGGATTTATTTATGTTTACTACTGCAGAATTTTGCCTGGTTCATCCAGCAATATGCCTTCTATTAGAAATCTTGCATGGAAAAAACTCCCAAAACCAAAATGAACACAGCAAGAGATAACCACCAGACAAAAAAGAACAACACTGGCTATTTGAAAAAAAAAAAAAAAATTACTAAACCAGATGTAAATTATTCACACAAGTAAGGATATGCACAATCCAGGCCCATACTAATTGAGCACAATAAACATATTGCCACTCATTGAAGATCTATCTGCCTGAATTTATCTTTGCTTTCTCTTCAGTTCTTATGAGTTATTCAATCACTTCCCATCACACAGGAAAGGAAATATTGTACTATGAAGACAGAGCTATAATTAGATATTCCTGTATTTCATTTCCCATATATGACTGAATGAGAATGGATGGGAAAAATATGAACAGTGATAATAATAGTATGTTGAAACATTCAGTAAGAAATATATTGGGCATAGAACAACATCTTAATTCTTCCTCAGCACATAATGCTGTGTTTACTGCAAGGTCAGTTAAGTTACTATAAGAGATTTTTAATGAAAACAATTATAAATTTAAAATAACTGTGTTTAAAGCATTTAACAGTCACTAAGGTCAAGTGATTACAGCAGTTACAAGACCCAAGGGACATGTTCACACCAAAACAAAGTGAATAAATTACCTCAGCCAGTGTATGTAATCACTAAGTGACCACAGAGGTTATTCAATGTATAAGCCCAGACTACATTAATGCAAAACCAATAATGAAAATTTATCAGCCAAAGGGAAAAAAGCATAAGAATGAGTAAAAGTTGCAGGAAGGGCTACGAGCTAGGAGGGGTGGGGAAGAGGGCGTGGAAAGCATATTCCATGATTAGGCTGTGGAGACAAGGAAGAAAGACGAACATTAATGAAATGGATGGACAAGATGCTGAACATTTTGCTCAGGTGAGATACCAGAAGAGTTGCAAAAGGATGCAAGACCCACGAAACATAAAACTGCAGGATTGACAGAAGTGTTCTCGGTCCTGTATAACTGGCACATGTAACACCCAGTGAAGTATAAGTGAGGCAAGGGGTTCAGAATAATCATCTTTTAACTTTTCCCTTGGCTTTATTGCCAAGAAAATTATGGACAGCTATTGTGTCTTAGTTATCCCATTATATAATCCTAGTGGAGATGAGTCCCTGTTTTTTTACAACAAAGTAGGTAAAATAAACTGTGGAATGAAGCCTAGCTTTGATCTCACTTCTCTCCCTCACTCTATAAACAATACAGATGCCTTGTCTTCATTACTGCTTTACAACATGATTGCCAGTGAAGAAAACCATACACACAAAAGATATGAAAACTCCTTTCTAGAAGGACAAGGTATTTGAAGGGAATTCTCAGTGCATTGCTTTGGAATAAGGCTCCTACCAACTATGATGAAAAAAGATGTCTCCCACTATATGGCAGAAGGAAAAGGAAGCCTTCTTGTTCCTTCCTGATAATGGTATGTATTTTTTAAACTATTACATGTCATCACCTCACAACCTTGAAGGTATTAAATCTTCACAATATACATGGCAAATAATAAAATGCAATTACTCCCATTTTTGCAGATAGGAGCCTGAAATTAGGTTGTAAAAAAGCACTTCAAAACTGACTTCAGAATATTTTGATTCCAGATGAGGAGAGGACAGCACTGGAGCAAGTACTCACCAACACAATAAGATTCCACATGAGAATCAGTTTGCTGCCTCACCTTATGCCAGAAACCTAATAAGCGGTATTGTCATATATATGAAAATGCAAGTGGACTCTGCATGTAAAAAAAAAAAAGGGGGGGAAAAAAAAAAAGACATAACAAAAGTCTTCTGTACCTGAAATATGAAAGCCTGAGGCCAAAGTCAGTAAGTCTTTACACAGTCAAAGCTCCAGTTTCAATGACACTGACTGCCAAAGAACGCAAAATCTGTTTTCTCAGATAAATACCATACTGACTTCTACAAGAACTATATATATGCGTAGAACGACCCATGGTAAACTATTGAGACTGGAACAAAACCTATTTAAAGGGTCATAGTTCTTCTGTTGCAGATGTTAAAGCAAGGATCTCTGTGATAAAATAACATCATCAGGGAACACCTGGTAAATACAAGGAATGCCAAGTGGCTACCAATATTGTAAGATTCTCCACAAAAAGGTAAAAACACACCAGCAGCTTACTCATTTTGGCTTTCTGCAGTACTGAGTTCACATTTCCAAATGCCAAGCACGGGACACAGGCCCTGGCTGTATCAAAACACTTGTGAAATGACAGTCCAGAGAGGAATTTTGGTAGACAGACACCACTCTTAGAAGTGCATTCAGGGCAGACTTTGGTGGTCTACACTCTCCAGAAAGCAATTTATTTTCTGGAGCTGCCTGGCATCTCCACCAACTGAACCTCCTTGAGCAGCAGTGCTCACAACCTCTCTACGAGGACTAAAACTCGGCAGGACCACACCACCCACCCCCGGGGAAGCTGTGCAACCTCCATGGCCCTTACCTTGATTGCTCCTCCTCCTTCGCAACACTAACATTTACAGCTTATCACAAAGAACACTCAGAAGTTGAAGATGATGATTCCTACCACGTCTCTTCCCTCAACCTATGTACATATCCACCCACTTCTCCTACTGCTTCTTACTTCCCAGTCCTGTGATTACATTCCTAGAAAAAGGATAGTTTTGAGCCCATAAAATCCAGTACCCCTTTCTAGAAATAGGAATGATAGAACTAAATTACAGTAATATGGCAGTATCTGGAAGCCCTAATCCCACATGCACAGCAATAATAAGAAGGAAAAACATTCTTTAAAATTGGGCTATGGAAATCAGAGGAGGTCAGAAGGAAGATAAAAAGAACAGCATGGAGAAAATGCAAAGGAGGGTGAAAAGATGGAGAATGTGGAAGCTCTTCTATTTAAAAATTCCCTTTGTAAATCCAAATGTTCTTTACTTATCTCTTGAAGCGTCAGCCAAGGAAATCCAATGGAATAAAGTGATGCTATTATAAGCAGGTGGAGATGTGGCCATCATATAGCAAGGAAGAGAGAATACAGTGATAGAAGTTAAGCCTGATGACAAAGCTATGCTTTCAGAGATTTTTATACAATGCTGTAAATTCATTCTAATGTTTCCTGAAGATCAGGTGCTCAAGTCAACTTTACCTCTGAGTATTTCTTGTGCAAGCAGTGACATGGCAGTACAAAGCCAGCCTAACAGTGGCATTTATAACAGAAGCATCCTGCACAATTTACTCTCCTTCATTGTGGTCTTCTCCTGGTGCAATTTAATTGTCCTCAACTGTAGCAACACACTATCAGGGCACTAATATCAAATACAGCAGAACATGAAGGGTATTCTGTCAAAGAGGTGTTATGCCTGCATTCAAAGTTAAAATGCCAGTACTCTAATTCAAAGGGGCAGTCATGTGAATACCACGCCAAAAAATTCTCCTCTTCCAAACAGTACTATTGATTTTGCCATCCTGTGTTGTGGGAAGAAGGACTTTCATAATTTCCAAATTGGTTGTAGCTTTTAGCACTGCTTTAAATAATGGTAAAACCAATATACAGACAGTAATCGTTTGGGCTGTGGATATAAAACCCCACAACATCAACTAATGGGACACTGTATGAATTCATATGAGGTGCCACCAACCCCTCAGCGCACACATAAGGCTACATAGTCCTTGTTGTGGAATGACAGAATCTTTTCCCCCAAGATAATGCAGAAATACAGCAAAGTCTCTAAATTTGTCTTAATTAACAGAATCATACTGAGGCTAGAAACAGCACATCACATGAGGACAAGAGAAATTGGGCAGGGGGGGGCGGGAAGGGGAGGAGGGAGAAGGATTTTCAAGTGCTCTAATTCAATTATGAGGCAGTGACTGACACTTGGACAGGAGAGGTTAATTGGGGTCACCAAAACGCAGTAATTTCTTACCTAACCAGTCATTAAACTTCTTAACCTCTGAGGGCAGTCCCAGTTCGGTGAAATCGCCCGTGTGGAGAAGGATGTCCCCATAAGGCATCTGGATGCCATCTGTTCTGGAGTGTGTATCTGAGACGCAGACAAATCGCGTGTGGCCCGCTGGTTTCGGAGTGTCATATGGGATAGGGTCGACCCTAAAGCAGACACATAAAGATCTCTTAACAGTTACAAGGTTAAAACCCTCACATCTATTATTTCAGATATCAACACAGATGATCTCTGCATAAGCATGCATGCACACACACCAACCTCCATTTGCACACACCATGCTGAAAATTACTCTGTCATGTAACACTGCGAAAAATCCAGAAGGAATGACAGTGCTTCTTAAATACTTACCCAGTAAGGAAGGAATATTAAAAAATACATAAGATATGACCAGTTTCTGATACTAAATTTAAACACTGGAAAAAATTGATTTGAGAGACCCTGAATTCAGATGTATTTTTTCCATCGTCTACCTTATACATGAACAGGTACATGGGCCATTAAATAACAGGTCTCTCAGGTGGGCCAGCAACAGGCTCTCACTTGAGCTGAGAAGCTTAGCATCTGATTTTGTACAAGGGCATAGACACTCCTACAGATTCCAGCAGGAATAGTTGTGTACACATCCAGGAGTGCTCTGACAAAGCCTGGAAATTGCAGAACTCAGTCTAATGACTTCTTACCCTCATACAAAATCCCGAGCTCATCTTCCCCAAAGTCCATAAAGTCAGGAACAGAGGTGACAGAGCTTGAAGCAACCATAGATGAAACATTTTTTCTTCTATAGCCAATGATGTTAAAAATTTAGTTCAATTGGTTATCTGCCAGCTACATTTGTTAATTTGATCTTATCAACTATATGTAACCCACCATAGAAGCTTGGTTTTGAGGTGTTTTGGTTTTGTTTTTAAATTTAAGCAGAATAGAGAAAAATAATAGGGAAGAGAAGTGCTACTTTGTAACAAAATATTTTAAAATAAAAAAGGCAACCCATTGCCTACTTTGGAATAGCAATTATTTTTTCTGCAGAGTTACCATAATTTGATTTACTGAACATTTGAATAGCACAACATCTGGACTAACACCTCAGAAACTGCATCCCAGCTCCACAAAACTTCAACCCACTCCACTGATGTACCACTTTGATCATGGTTAGAGCTTAGTTTCAGCTAGAAATTTTGAGGTATTTAGGAGTTATGTCAGAATAATAGTCCACTTATGTCTCAAATCATCAGAGCAGTGAAACCAAGCTCTAAGTATTTTAAAGCACTCAAAATACTGCTGTTCTAAGAGTCATTGGGACAAACTGGCACAATACAGATTTAAAAATCAGTGCCTGAACGTAAAAAGAAAATTAAACAGGTTTTATTAGTTTTGTTCTCCACACTGAAAAGAAAAATAACTAGCATACATTACTGTGGATCTCTTTTTCTTAAATCCCCATATTTGTAATGAGATGTATGACACAGAAATGGAAAATTACGCACAAATCCTAAGAAAATACAGACTTTTGAAGTGTTCCTTTATTTACTGAACTGTATTTACTATACTGTATTAGTATTTAGCATTTACTATACACTGAACTGTGTGAAAACTTCCCCCAGCATCTTTAACTTCAGCTCTCTCCCTATGTGAGGAAGACCAAAAGCATCCTCCAGGGAGCAAGTGAGCTCTCTACACTGGGGGGTTTATAGTAGTTCAAGAAATCAGACTCCATATGGACATGTACTGGTCTCCAATGGAAAAATGTTGACAGGAACATGCTTACTAACAAGACTTTACTGAGTCTTTTATATTTGGTAGAATGTTCACTAACAGCTAAAATTTTAGCCCAGGTGGCAGGAGGGAAAGATATTATTTGTTAGACTGCATTTTCCTAGGTACCATAGTAAGTATTTCCAATCAAACTGGAAAATTTACCATAAATGTACCACACTTGGTTGCCACTGAATTAATTTGCTAAATTCAGGCTCTACAAGATGACGTTTACTTTAGTATGGCCTTTACCTCAAAAACAGTTTTTACTTTGGGCTGGACTGGATGGGAAGGGTCAGTTTGATAAATCACTTTTTTTGGCTTTGGTATTGCACCTACTATTCCACCCAAAGCACCAGGTACTTAAGCCATACATCTGGTTACCACTACAGAAACCCACTGCAAGAATCTGAACTGTGACAATCAATGGATTCTTGTTCTCTGAAAGGGTCAGAAATTAATAAGGTTATTATTACAGAGAAAAACTCATTTACCTACTGAAATCACACTGGCAAGGCTGGGCAGATCTGTAATTCTAGGCCACAGTAGCTTTGTATTTGGTGTCTTCCTCCTGATTACTGAAGGTAAGCCAAAACTTTTTTAACAGTATGTCACACAGCAAACATGGGGGTCTCTGAATCAACATTTCCACACTTTCAAATATGTTTACTTCAGACAACATAAAAAATGAACACCAATTTTCATCACTACCACATACCTTGTTCACACTGTCTCTGCTTAAGCTATGACCAGCATCGCCTGCCTCTGGGGAGTCCAATTTTGTTGGTACACAGCAGCTATGCTTTTGCTATTCTCTGTGGTTTGTTTCCAAACAAACCCTGTTTTGCTTTAGGCAATCCCTACTAGACTATGACACCAAACTCTGGTTTAGGATTTTTCTATTCATACAGTGACAGACTTACAGAAAATTCTATAATCGAAATTCATTAAGGTCCTCACCCTTCTTTCTCCTCTTTACAGACACTATGATATTGCCAAGTAACCTTTTTTCTACATCTTGGCTTAATTTCTTCTCTTATTCAGTAGTGCTTGCCTACTAAGTGTTTGAAAGTGAGATACTGAAGGTTATTGTGTTCAGCCCATCAATTTATCTTACTCAAAACAGTCCTTCAATAGAAACTTAATAAAAGCAGTGTTACTGCCAGTCCTAAAGGCTCAAGTTTTCTTTTCATCCACAGCTACAGTATGGCAAACAGTAATGCAAGATTTTTCTTTTTCACTGCATCACGGGAGGACTGGCCTCCGAACCCCTGAGATCCGCTGCTGCAACAGACAAGGTGCTACCCTTTCACAGCTTTTGGTGACACACTGCTCGCTAGCAGGCTTCCACCTGGGCTGTGAACGTCAGCGATTCTTCTGGTGGTCTGCTCACCTCAGAGCCAAACATCTGGAGATTATAGACTGGCATTTCTAAAAGCTCTGTAATAGTGATGCATCTGAACCTCACTGCAATTCAACAGGAAATAAGTATTTCAGCCCTGCTTACCACCAGTCTCTGTTGAATCAAAGCACATACCTAAGAAATTAAATGTATTCTTTACTATTTGCTCCAAAGACAGTGCATCCAGCTAACTTTGACACTCTCCATCACCACCAATACTTTATTATTTCACTCTTCCTGAGCTGGCAGACAAACACTTTGCAGATTATTTGAGCACAGTATTTGGAAAAGCATGCTCATGGAAAGATGCAGCAAATGTTATTCCAGAATAATTTAAAAGTTCATACGTTAGGATTAATACAGCAACCAGGAAATGGAAAACAACCTAACAAAATAGCCAAGTATCAAAATGAACGAGGATTTTTTTTTTTTGCCTTAAATTAGTAAATTATTTTGGGCATCTAACTTCCTTTACAGACAGCTGTTAATAGGTACTATTATCTATCCTAAAACACCTTGCACCTTAGAAAATCAGGCACTTAAGCAGTTTCTCAAAAATTTATGTAAGACCCAGAATGAAATCCCATAAGGCAGTTGAGCAATGACTGCTTTCTAGGATCATGACAGTAATGTAAGATCTGTCACATTTAATGCATTTATGACAAGGCTTTAGGAATCAGAAGGGACAATGTGATCTTCATGCACTTCTATAAGGGCCTCATTTATCAGATAATTATTTGGCTTTACTAAACTGCCCTTACCATCAGTTGTTCTCACAGAGAGTAAGAGTCCCTCAGGTACAAACCTCAAATTCACAGCTCCTCACACATTGCTGCAGCTAAATCAAATGACAACATAAACCAGGCTCGATTTGGCTTGCTCAACTACCACTAACCACTATCTTCCTCCAAACCCACGGTTCCCACGGCACTTCCAAAGCAGCAGGGCCACGTAAGCGGCCCCTCGCCCAGCCGGGCACCCGGCAGCCCACACACTGTGGCGGCTGGCACCCAGCGCTGCTCCCGGGGACTGCACGGACTTGGAGCTGTACGCTGTCCTCATCTGTTGGACAGCAAAATTTTGTCATGGCTTTACACTTTAAAAGCAGGGATGAAGGAAATAAACAACGGTGAGCAACACGGAAGTTATATGGGGGATTTTAACCGCAAGGTAGGAAGGCTGAATTCAGAAACTCACAGAGGAGGAAAATATTGGGCCTTTCACAGGCACAGAGGCAAAGGACTTGATTTAGTATGTCATGCTATGGAACAGACACGTTAGCCCTATATTTCAGCCCAAGCTTTGATGTCTTATAAATCAGCAGTGGCAGAAAGTATCTCTATGACAGAAAGGGCAGTGCAGCCCTCAAGAGACATAGCTGCAAGCAGAATTATACTAGGACCCTGTTTTCAAAGAAAATTTGGAAAAGACACAAGTACCATTTTTCTGTAAGAAATAAAAGTTTTGATTGCAAAGGATAGTAATTCTGCATGGGTGAGTTTGTATGCTGAAAATACAGGACTCTGGCTAGGTTAGCCAGTCCCTGGGAATGCCTGTGCTTGGAGAACCCACTGCCTTTTCACTTCCCTGCTCTCCTGGGTTTTGAGGTATGCAGACCCCAAATCCCCTCTTATAGAACAATTCCCTAGAACCTAATTCATCCATGAAGATGGAATAAAAATCTTAAACGCTGAGCCAGGAAGAATTTCCAGCTCCTAACATCAAATAAATCACTCAGATGAATTCAGCACCTATGCTAGACAAAACATTTACAGATGCTTAAAATCCCTCCCTCCACCCTAAACCCTGTAACTCAAACCAGCACTATTACTGCTTACAGTCCACCACTTTTTAAGCTGGTTCTGTTGGCTTTGCTACCGGTGAACAAGGCACCAGTCAACTCAGAAGACCACATATTTTTACTCTTTCCAAGGCTCACTAGAAGCATAACTAGCCCCATGACATACAGGCCCATGTCCTTCCTAGACT